ATGGATTCTTTGGCAGGATACTAACATTTTTCTAAAGAGAGACAAGACCTGTGTCTTTGGCCTGAAATATTTTGATCTGTGATTTTAGCTTTTTTTTGATTTTTGGCCAATACAATCACTTCCTTTTGACATTGCACTGATGGTGATGTAAATAAAACATTCGAAATATCAACTCACACACTAGTCTTGTCTGTTACATAAATTCTGATTTGATGAATTATCTTGAGTGACAACTGGAGTCAGTTGCAAAAATATTGGAGTTCTTCAGAAATTTAGACACGATGTACAGATATACAAGTCAGAGAACAGTTTGTCTTAGATTCATAGTCTTAAGAACATTTTTATCCTGTCAATCTATGTTATTTAAGAACATTGATGATTGTATCCCAAGCAGAAGCACCAAGACCAAGCTTTATAAGTTGCTGGTCGTCCCTGTTCTATTATAGGGTTGCGGGACCTGGAAAATGAATCAGGAAGATGACAAGTTTATTGGCCTATTTTATAACAGGACCATGTGAAGATGGCAGAACTGCTCCAGTGTAGAACTCTGTAGTGTTGAGGTACAAAGAAGAAAATGGAGGTTCATCGGCTACACTTTAAGGCAAGACTCAAACAACAACTGAAGGAGGGGAGGGACGCGAAGGGAAAAGGAGAAGAGGAAGACCAAGAATGACATAGTATAGGGGACAGAGGGGGCAAGCAGGCAATAGGTTGTCAATCCTGGGCTGAGATGCGAGCAGCAGCAGCTTCAGACAGGACAGAGGGGAGATGTTCTGTAAATGTTCAAGAGGCATCAAGCAGACAGACAGATGATAGCATCTCAATATAGAATTTGTTAAGTAAATAACATCTGGGAAAACATTGCTCCCATAATTTAGATTTGGCTTCCTGCAACTACTGGCTTTTCTCAAACCTAAAATTACCCTTAAGAAAGAGCTGGGACGAGATTAAAGAGAATGTTGGGAGGAGGACTTGGCTATTTTGAAAAGAAAATGGGATGCTGGGATAAGAGTGTTGAATCCAAAGGGAAAGTGCCATTGCCCTAGGTAAGAAGCTATTTTTCCATTATTATTAATGGGTGCCCACTTTCCGAACAGACCTTGTAGATGTCATCAATGCAAAATAACTTAGGTCATTTTTTTTTTAAGTAAAAGGTGGAAGAGATAATTTTAAAGCAATGGTTAGGATAAAAAAATAAATCTCCTATTCTGCGTGATAGTGTGTGTATGATGTTGAGTCCTTCATGAAGTTCATCAGGTCAATGCATTTACTTGCCATGGCTCATCTTTCCAATTAACATGCAACAGCTTCTAATAGATTAAGATAAGGAACTTTTTAAAGACTCATATCAAATTTTCCCATCTAAAATCTTCAGCAGATAAAGAATTTTTGATAAGGACAAAAAAAAAAAATTGTGACCTGTCAGTTACAATGAGTTAAACAACTAAACACAAAATTGTATGTAATGCTAAGTGTGTTTTTCACATAAATACAAGACTGACAGCTATTGAAGGGGCACTGATTTGAAAACAGTTTTCTATTACTTGAGGGGAAAGTAAACTACACTCATTTCATATCGAGGGTCGAATTGTTAGATGTGCTTCAGACATTCCAGCTAGTATGTTCATTGAAAAAGTATGTATAATCATCATATATATATATATATATATATATATATATATATATATATATATATATATGATGATTATTATACACATACTTTATATATATATATATATATATATATATATATATATATATAAATTCAAACTTGAAAACTTTGAACTGTTTAAGAGAAGTGTGGGTGGGGAACACACAAAGTACCCCACAAAACTTTAAACTTAAACAAAAATGTCCAATTTTCTCATTGCTTGTTGATGTTTTGCAAATTCCAGTTTGTTTTGTTTGAGGATTATTTTAAGAGCTGGACACTGTCATCTTTTTTCTGTGCATGAATTCTGACTTAAAATTGTCTGATGGCTTCTTTTTTTCTTTCTCAATTTGAACCCCTCTTTGTGCATCCATATCAGCCATGGATTGATTGAGGGTTTGGTTGCAGTGCTCTGATAACTGTCCCCCACTCCCTTCTCATCATAATTGAACATCATATTGGGCCTATTGCCTCTGTTCTTGGCTCTATACCTTTTCAGATTGCACAAAAAATAATTTTGCACAACTGTCTAATTTTGATTAATTGAATCAGCCATTTCATACTGAGATAGCTCCTGTCAATGTTTGAAATCCAGTGACTTAAGTTCTGTCTCATACTGTGGAGACTTTAAAATGATTTTTTAGCAATCATAGACAGACTTAAATTGAAACTTGAACTTTATATCATGTGAATTGTCAAGGAGTTTAAAGCTTAATGCCAACAAAAGTTTTTAGTGATTAAAATTGGATTAAATTAATTCAAGACGAGATCACCGTTCAAGTCTTTACTATTAAACAGTGTTTGTAAAATGAAAAACTTTAAAAAAATCCCAAATGGAAATTGATCTATCACAGACAAGAGATATAATTCAAAATTTTCACTTGAGTTTAAAGTTTTGTGGTGTAGTATATATGTTAACAAGACAATGTTTGTAGCTTTATTATAAATTTTAATTAAGTTACTTACATCTTAAGCTTTTAATTGCCTTTTTGGCAACTTTCCTCTAATAGTGAAAATAAAATATAACCTTTTGTTGAGATACTAGTCAAAAATTAATAATAATGGCTGATGATGCTTCATTTAATAAAGAATATGAAAGTAGATACTATCCAAAAATGAATAATAATGGTTGATGATGTTTTATCTAATTAAAAATAAGTTTTTGTACTTTGTGTATTAAATAAGATTCAAATGTAGTGGATGTTTAAATTTGTGTATTAAGATTAATCTGGCACAAGGCTACTAGTGAGAAATCTCCAGTGATTTATTACATAGTATTCAATGATTTCCTAGACTAAATTCATTACCCCATGCCAAGAGACCATATATTTATATTTGTGCATGTTTATAAAGACATATTGTTTGCAGGATATAAATGACTGATTTTTAGGTAATACAAACAAATTTAGTTTGTTTTGAAAAGAGAGGCTCTCAACATTTTATGCCCTATACACAGCTCCTTCTTCAAGCACCGGGATTTTTCTTGAATTAAAAAAAGGAAAAAAAAAGGAAAAAAGAAACAAAAAGAAGAAATTATCATTTTTTTCCCCTTTTTTCACCCCACCCCCATCGTTAAAAAAGAGGAAGGAAAAAAAATATAATCTTTCCCCCTTTTCATCCTTCCCCATTAAAAAAAAAAAAAAAAAAAAAAGGAAAGAAAAAAAAAAAAAATTATCATTTTTTCCCCCTTTTTATCCCCCCCAATTAAAAAAAAAGAGGAAGAAAAAAGAAAAAATAAACAAAAAATTGTGAAAGACATGAAATTGACAAAGAAATGAGTTATCTTTGTTTCCTTTTGACCACTGAGTGTCAAGTACAGACCATGCTATGGATTGACCAAATGTCCCTGGCCAGCTTAAATGTTCAATCAAACAATAGACTTCATTTGGTTATAAAGAAAAAAATCCGATATCATTGTCTTAGTTATTTTGTTCAAAGAATGTTATTTTGCAAAAAGAATTTGATACACAAGTGAGGCAAATGGTGATACTGTCTACTATGGCATCAAACACAAATATTCCACACTTGGAAGCTTATTTGTCATCAATTTGAATTTACTGACCATTAAGATGGCAGAGTATCAGCCTCTTACAAGGGGAAGGACAAATCTTAGAAAAGGTGATTCTTTTTCAATTTTTAAATAACTTTCTCAATATAACTGTCATAGAAATTTTCAACATTGATAACTAAAGAACATTAAAAAATAAAAAAAAAAAAGACCAGACAAAAGAAAAAAGTACATATAATTAGAGACAACTTCTTCATTACAAAAAAAGAAAAAGTTTGAAGTGCTTTGAGAGAAGAACATCCAGTCTGCTGGCCACTATCATCTAGTTAGTTGTAACAACAGGTTTTGGTGAATAATTACAAAACTTCATCCAGTAAGGCACAAGGCCAATGGTGGGAAGGGGGATAAAAAGACTGCATTATACCAATCTTACAAGTGGGGAGAGCCTAACTTGAAAATCGATGCATTCAAGATTCTAGATTTTATCTGGATTTGAACACTGACCTGACACAAGTAGGAAATTCCCAACTATCTCAGTGAAAAGGCAGGCTTTTGTATATTTTACAAATTTTGGTTTCATATGGCACAAGGCTAAATTGAGGGGCAGGGAGACATATGGGAAGACAATGTTGTACAAATCTTTCAAGTAGAAGAAGGCTTGCTTGCCAAAAAAATCAGCAGTTGAAATCTGACATTTTGCTTGGATTTGAGCACCAAACCTTTTGATTCCAGTGGGGGAAAAATATTTCAGCCACTTGGGTGGACGCTGGTTATAACAAGAGCATTATACTTGCAGTTCAGCCACAGAACTGCAACAGGTGTTTCTGCCATTTGTAGCAGTAGAAATGTAGCAACAAATATTTCTACTATTTTTAGTTAAGCAGTAGAACTGCAACAACATATATTTCTGCCATTTGCAGTTTGATGACAACTGCAACAACAGAAACTCCTTTCGGTTGCAGTTAATGGGTTAAAGAAAGCTTTTATTATTTTTTAAAGATAAAAATGTTTGGAATTTATGGAAATTGACAGAACTTTGCTGATATATTTTACAAGGTTTTTAATTGTAGAAGTGCTATTTCCTAATTTATTAAAAAAAAAAAAAACGTACACAGGTTTAGGTAACATTTTTTGCAAATTAATATCAAAAATTAAATTTAAAAAGAGAGATTGTTTTCATGACAATGACATGCATGACATCACATTCAAGATAAATTGTGAAATCACACAAACATTGCAAATAAAGTTTTGTGTGAACATGATTGATATTCATTAAATTTATGAAATTCTTGCACAAATTCTAGATTGATTGATTTATTTAAAACCAAAACATTATGTACCCTGAGTTTCCAAGCAGTCCCCCATCTAAGTACTGACCAAGCTTGACACTGCTTAACTTCAGTGATTAAATGAGAACTGGTGTTTTCAGCTCAATTGAACAAGTTCTGGAACCTCCAGTAAGGATTGAACTCACTATGGTGATGATGGTCTATGCAACTAGAATGCTAACCATTGCTCTATAGTTAGATTCCCAAGGTCCAATGTATGGAGAACCAGAGTAACTCACCACAATAGTAATGGTCTCTGAGGCTGACTTGCAAATACGGTCACAAGTTGAAGGTGCCTATGTCCTGCCATTACCTATTGGATTCCTTAAAAAGTAATTGTTCATTATCAGAAATTATGCAACAATGTCACATAAATTGTTTATTTCCCCCATCCCACCCCCAGAACAAAATTACAAAGCAAAAAAAATTACAAGATTTATGATTTTTATAAAAGATTGTCATACAAAGAAGTATTAAAACATCACAGACATCTCAAGAGGACATTAACAAGTTCTTCATTCAACCATTAGACGACCTAAAATGTAAATTTCACTGAGCTGGTTAATACAGCAAAAGTAAACCAATTAATGACAAATTAATGTGCTTTTTTTTTTCAGAATGATTATATATCACACATGAAATGGGTTAAAACACAATCATCACTAAATTCATCTTCTACACGTAATCAAGTGCTATTATCTCATATATTGCTCAGAAAATTGTCTTTACTTTTGTTTATCTTTTTAAATTTTGATTGATATATTATTCTTCAGTCTGAATATTGTAACTGGTTTTCAGAATTTGCTGTGTACTTTTTACATTTTTTCATTTTAACAAAAATATGTCAGTGAAATAGAATCAAGAAATTAGATGTTATGGCATTGTCTAAGTCGAGAGAAAGAAAGAATGGACCAGATTAAAATTTACTTCTGTTGGGAGACATGTTGATGGCTTCCTGTACTATGAATTGTGGGATCAGATGTTAAGCTCTTGTATCTGTGTTAACATGAAAAAAGATAAAATTAAAATAAAGAAAATAAAAACGTATAAAGCAAATTCTAAAACTTCATAGATCTTAGCAATGTCATAGAACTGTTTTTCATATATTCCACTCCTTTTCAAAATTACTTCAGGTGGCTAGCCATTAAAAATGGTCATGATGTGGGAAGACCCTATTTCATTAAAATTTGTATACTTATTGTTGATGTCTGTGATTTGAAAGGAATAGCCTATGGCAAAGTCTCTATACAATGGAAAATGTAAGATCTTAAGGTAGACATTTTTATACCAGCATTACTCACTAATTACTCATTAGCAAATGAGTTTTTAAAATATCAGTATTCAAAACTCAAGCAATAAAAAATGTCCAGAAACAATAGCCAGGTAGATCTATTTAAATTTCCTTTTTATCAGTATTCACATATGGCTTAGAGTAAACCAATAGAATATAAGCAATTATCTTATAATCTATTGAATAAATTTGTTTTCAATATTGCTTCTTTTTTTTTCTTCTTTTTTTTCTTTAGATAAGTTTTTAATATCTTTAAACTAATTCTAAACTCTCAGCAAATTCAAAACGTTTCTATTCTTAATCTTTGATTTACCTGAAATGGTTTCATATCTGTAACTTTAAGTGTCATTGCTTGATCCCAGTCCTCTCAGTCCTCATTCTTTTTTTGTTTGCAATGAAATTCTTCATATTGATCATTGCACAACACTGAATTACAAATGGTTTTAGATGCCAGCAATTTCTCTTTTACATTTGAACTTCAACCAACAAATAAAAGTTCTTGAGGATTTAGAGAGGACAAAACAAAAAAAAAAACAAACACTTCCAAACTTTCTATAACTGTTGTTCTATGTGACAAGTTTAAAAGCAGGGATGACAGATACATAGCTCAGCTTGAAAACATCTAAAAGTACAAGTCTTGCAAATTGCGGCAGACAAGTAACAAGAGGCTAGACTTCAACAGACCAGTATCCTCATTTTTTGGGGTTATTTTTTTCCCCCTTATTTAAAAATAATCAAAAAGATTTTCTTTCTAAATTTAAAAAATACTCTTCAATGAATTCTTGGAGAATGTTTCTGGAATTTTTCAGATGCAAAGAAAGACATCAATTATTTTTTAGTTGAAAAAAAAAAAAAAAAAAATCGACTGATGACGCATTTGCTTTTACAAGTTTTTAACTTTTTAGTCGTATTATTTCATCATTAAGAAATTATTTTTATAATAATACTGATTAAAAAATGTCCAGATAAAAGACAATTTTACAAATTGATAATATGAGCAACACAATCAGATGGGGTTGTGCCAAGATCAATATTAATTGTAGACTTTGTGTAGATGCAATCACAGACAGTGGTTTACATAATTGACAGGTGATTCTGCCACATAAATGTTAAAATATTTAACTGTAGGTGATTTCTATGACACAAGCAATTATATATATATATATATATATATATATATATATATATATATATATATATATATATATATAAAAGTGAACATAGAAGTCAACACTTAGAGGCGACAGTCTGTTTCATGCTATATGCAATCGTCAGGCCACCAGTGTGCTGTTATTTTTCTAAGCTATTTATATATATACGGGTTAGTGGTGCATTGTGGGTATTCTATTATGGCGGTTATTTTTACGAAGTCGCTTTGTTCATTTATTTGGGTCAAGTTATATTGCTCGTTTTATTTATTTTTTTATTTTATTTTATTTTATTTTATTTATTTATTTATTTTTTTTTTTTTTGTTTCTTATTTTATTTATTTATTAACGTAGTAAAATTTGTTTATATCACGTATTTAACAGTTTTGTTTTTGGTTTGAGAATTTAATTAAAGCTATTTGTTCAATTTTGGGGTTGGTTGTTGTAGTTCATTCTAACTATTATTTTGGGGAACAGTTTTTAATTTGGGATTGGTTTGCCTATTTATTTACTTGGATGAATTTAGGTCAATTTATTTTTATATTTTCTCTTTTTGGTTTTTTGGTTTTTAAACAACATAGTATTTATTTATTTATTTTATTTATTTATTTTTTTTTTTTTTTTTTTATTATTGTATTTGTTTTATTTTATTTTTTCCGTTTTTCATTTTTTTAGGTTACGTAGTAAAATTTATTTTCATGCCTGCATTTTGAGATGAGCTCGGATCTTTTATTTAATAATTTATTTTGGTCGGGGAAAGTAATGATAGCTATTTTTTCCTCCAAGCAAAGTTTGCAAGTTTTTGATTGGTTGTTGTAGGCTGATGACTTTTTTTCCTTATCTTCCAAGATATTTTTGGTGTGATGTGCGTTTTGTTTTTTATTTCCCAGATATACTTAGAAAGCATAGTACTGTTCGTGATATTTACTATTTGTGAACGATGTTTTGTGTGTATAATTTCTTTGCTTCCAGGGTCCTTCAGTTACTCCTATGTATACTTTTTTCTTCGTTATCTGGTGATTTTATAAATGGCTTGGTATATTCACGTTGTTTTGTAGACAATTTCCGTTTAAGGGACATTCGTTTCTTTTATTCTGCAGTTGCACGGGGTTTAATTTGTTCGTGTGGTCTGTTGATAATTTTCCTATTGTGCTTTTTTTATTATTTGTGCCATGCTCTCGGTGCAGCTGTAGCTGATTTTTACTGTATTTTTGTTGAATATCTTGTGTAAGGTGCTTGATTCTGGGAAGTGTTTGTGTAAGAGTTTGAAGAATATTTTTCCTACGTTTGTTTTTCGTTCTTGCTATGCGGTGGGTTGAACCATATGATATTTCTTCTCCTGTTGGTCTTTTTTGTATTCTGTGGTGAGTATGTGAGTATTGCTGGGAATCCGCTATCTTTTAGGGCCGTTTCATAGTCTTTTTAGCTTTGTTAAATAGGGATTCATTGGAGGAATTGTCGGAGAGCCTGCGGTTAATCGATTTTGGTATCTGTTTGATTATAGAAGGCGGATGGTTGGAAGATGTGTGTATGTAGAGTGGTTTATCGTTAGGTTTTCTGTATGGTTTATATGTGCCTTCTCTTAGGTTGAAGGTCACATCTAGGAAATCTACTTCGTTTAGGTTAGTTTTTATATCTATGTCCTATCCGTTATTTTTAAAAATCTTTATTATTGCTTTTCTAGTTTTGTCTGTGTTTTGTTTGTTACAGTTTCTTAAGATTATGAGGCCCGTCGTCCCTGTAGAGTCCTGTGTCATTTTTATCTATTATTTTGCTCAGTTAAAGTAAGTAAATGCCTATGATTTCGCATGCCTCTGCACCACCAATAACGAAGAAAAAGTATACATAGGAGTAACTGAAGGACCCTGGAAGCAAAGAAATTATACACACAAAACATCGTTCACAAATAGTAAATATCACAGAACAGTACTATGCTTTCTAAGTATATCTGGGAAATAAAAACAAAAAAGCACATCACACCAAAAAAATATTGGAAGATAAGGAAAAAGTCATCAGCCTACAACAACCAATCAAAACTTGCAAACTTTGCTTGGAGGAAAAAAATAGCTATCATTACTTTCCCCGACCAAAATAAATTATTAAATAAAAGATCCGAGCTCATCTCAAAATGCAGGCATGAAAATAAATTTTACTACGTAACCTAAAAAATGAAAACGGAAAAATAAAATAAAAAACAAATACAATAATAATAAAAAAAAAAAAAATAAATAAATAAATAAATAAAATAAATAAATAAATACTATGTTGCTTAAAAAACGAAAACCAAAAAGAGAAAATATAAAAATAAATTGAAATAAATTCATCCAAGTAAATAAATAGGCAAACCAATCCCAAATTAAAAAACTGTTCCCGCCAAAATAATAGTTAGAATGAACTACAACAACCAACCCCAAAATTGAACAAATAGCTTTAATTAAATTCTCAAACCAAAACAAAAACTGTTAAATACGTGATATAAACAAATTTTTACTACGTTAATAAATAAATAAAATAAGAAACAAAAAAAAAAAAAAAAATAAATAAATAAATAAAATAAAATAAAATAAAATAAAAACGAGCAATATAACTTGACCCAAATAAATGAACAAAGCGACTTCCGGTAAAAATAACCGCCATAATAGAATACCCACAATGCACCACTA